CCATAGGTACAGTGACCTCATCAGTGGTCGCCATCACACTCATTGAAGTAGACTAGAGGGAGGGGGCCACTTCTGTGCAACAGCTACCTAGGGGTTTGTTCATCTGAAAGGCCATAAATATATTAAAAAGAAAGTCAGATGATGGTTATAAAAGGCTGTACAGTTTTCTGATTGTTTGCATTTCAGTTCAAACTGAAATTAAGAAAAAAATGCTTCACCTACAAATAACTGAATAGCTGAGCCCTTAACTCATCTTTAAAAGCCCACCATAGGTATTATTAGTTAACTTCTGCTAGCTAACATCGGGTGAGCTAACTGACTTGTATAACATTATAAGAAAGAGATGTGACACTCCAAAAATACTAAGATGCAATTTATAGCAGAATTCCAAAAAAGCTCAAAGAGGGTGGGAGCAGAATAACCTCAAGGGGATAAAATATTTTTAAAGCCTTTTTGAGCTAAAGTCAGAAAACCTTGATAACCCATCTTGAAGTATCTCTAGGCATCCCAAGATGACTGATGAGTTAGCGAACTTTGTCCTCAAAGGACAAAGAAAAAGCCTGAATATTTAGTTAGCCTCTGCACTGATTACATTCAATTCATTGAGGCGTTCCAGCTGAGATGAGAATGTAAGTGCACACGTGCCTACAAATAAAGACTAGTTATGTGACATTTATTGGCATCAGCTGGATTTACTCAGATTTAGTCAGCTGTATTGGCTAAAATAGCAGAAGTTGGACCTCAAGATTTGGACTACCTTTATTTATTTTGACAGGAACTGTGGGGCCTTCATTGTTCTTTCCATAAAACGTTACCACTGTGCTTGGAGAACAGGAAACGTCTGATGAAGTTTGACCCTACTAAAAAAAATTTCTTAGTTACTACAATCGACTTCTTTACTGTGGCTGACTACTGTGTAAGGCCAGATCCTAATAAGCTTTTGTGAGTCATCACTTTCAGCTGTGTTTTTGTATTGTAGTGGCTTAGATAAAAGAAATCCTGGTAAGTTT